ATATATTAAAAAAAAAATTCTTACTGATTCACGCGAACAGAGAAGTATTGGTCGCGTGATTTCACGCGAGCAGACATCCCTGTTCGCGTGAAATCACGCGAGTAAGTTTTTTTTAATTAATAATAAATTAAATCGCATTAAAAAAAAATTAAAAATTGTGCTCGTGTAGTTTCACGCGAACAAAGAGCTTTTGCTCGCGCAGAATTACACGAGTACATGGTCTCTGTTCGCGTAAAACTACGCGAGTACAATTATTATTATTATTTTTTTTAATCATATTTAAAATACAAAATAGAAAATAGAGTAATTTTTTGACACAATAAAAATAAAAAATTGAGTAATCGTTCAACACAATCAAAATAGAAAATCGAGTAATCGTTCAAAACAATAAAAACAGAAAAACAAGTAACTGTTCCACACAATCAAAATAGAAAAACGAGTAACAATCATCCTAGTACAGAACCAATGAAAATGGAAAATAATAGTCAAAATAAAAAACAACTTTCATAACTATCCTACTGTCTAACCCTCGATCCACTACCCATAGTTCTTGGTCCCCCCCCACGACCCCTCCCCCTCCCGGGTAGACACGGCCACGGGCCGGGTTTGACCCGGACCCGGCCCGGACCCGGCCGTTGACCGCCCCAACCCGCCCCGGCCCCACCCCGTTGACCATGGACCGGGCCAAGTTCGGATCGGTTTCGGGTCCCGATTATTTGGACCCCGGACCCGACGGGTCTACCCGGCGGGGGGGCCCGAGGACCCGGCGGAAATATCCGGTTTTGTTGTCCAAAAATTCACATTTTGGGGTTCAAACTCGGGGCAGTGGGGAAGAATGTGCAGCTCTTTACCACTAGGCCAACCAACATATTTGATAAAAAATAGGAATTTCGGGTGGGAGGCTAAAAACACCTAAATTAGATGAAAAAATGGCGTTATGGCGTCCGGTCGGAGATGCCCTAACTCATTTCAATTAATTTAAATCGATTTGAACTTATTAATATTATTGAGGATTTTATCGTAAGATAATTATTTAAAAATATAAATGATGTTTATTTTAACAAAAATAGATTATATCTCATTTCAATTAATATTCTTACTTTAAAAATAACATTATATATGACTAGTATTATCAAAATATTATGATGTGATTTCTCTTTTAATAATTGGTTTAGTTTGTAAAAATCGTAAGAATTAAATCGTAGATCATATGATTTAATCTTTTTTTTTACATTTACATTTTATTCGAATCGTAAGATTTAAATGGATTAAGCTCAAGTCCATTCATTTTTTTTATTTTTTTATTATATTATATTTGTTAATAATTTAATTAAATTGTTTAATAATAATGAATATGATAATTAATAATCTATTTAACATTATTTATTATAATCATTTTACACCTTTTGTTTATGTTATATATATTCCTTGTTACAATAATCCTAACTATAAATATAAAAATATAAATAACACTATCAAATTAAGTAATTGTGGCTGGATTGACATAAATTGCCGTCGTTTTCCTTCTACGATCGGATGCAAGAGCTCCCCGATCTCCAATACGATCCGGATCATCCGGATTGTTCGACTTCCGACCCAAAGCTTTCATTAAACTCTTACATTTTCCCGTAACTTGACTCGTTAAACTTTTCCCTCTACCTCCGGCGATCTACAATTTAAAAAAAAAATGAATTAATATTTAATTTAAACAAAAAAAATTTAGAAATAAAAAAAAAATTTAAAGTTGCTCGTGTGAAAACACGCGAGTAGACCAATTTTACTCGCGTGCAGGGCACGCGAGTAAAATAGATCTCCTCGCGTGTTTTCAGACGAGCAGCCAAAAAAAAAAAAAAAAATTAAGCTCGTGTGATTTTATGCGAGCTCGATAAACTGAGCTCGCGTGGTTTCACACGAGCACAAACCCTCTGTTCGCATAATAACACACGACCTCAATTTGTTTTAATTTTTTTCAATAAAAAACATACGAATTTAAAAAAATAAAAAAAATAAAAAAAAAATTACATTCATCTACTTGTGTGGTTCTACACGAGTAACTCCGCTGTACTCGTGTAGAATCACGCGAGTAAAACAAAATGCTTCGTTTTAAAAAAAAAATCAATAATCGTAATCTACGTAACGAAACAATCAAAAAAATATAAGAATTACCTCTGATCTCTTATCGTCTCGGTCGGGATCTGAAATCGAAGTATAAAAGCTTGAGAGACTTTTTGTGGAAATTTACCTTTTATTTTTTCAAGAATGGAAAAAAAAGTGCCTGCACGATTAAATTGTGCCTGCACAAATCGTTTCAGTTTTTTAAAGTGGACTTTTTGGTGGTTTGTTAATAAAAAGTAATAAAAGAAACAGTTTCTAATTTCTAAAACAATAAATGATTTTAGAGGCCCATTAGTATCTAATATCCGGTTCAGCCCATATCACCTCTTTTCAGAGAAGATTATACCGAACCGCGAGTCAATATCTCACGAGTCAACTCGTCCGCGTTCAACCCGATTGCAATACCAATTTCCTTCCGATTGGGATCGCGTCATCGTGCAAATACCAATTGCTTGCTTCGCTTAGAAGTTTTACAAGTCGAATTTTCCCAGCCTCTATACAATTACAGGTTCATTTTCTCTCTCTTAAATGCACCTATATATACATACATACATACATACATATTTGTGCGTGTAATTATTGTGTGTGCAGTAGTATATAAAATCTTCGCGACTCACTGGATTGAAGTCGAGGTAGTGAATTGGATCTTATGGCGTTTTTTTGGAAAAACAATTTTCTGATAATTGTTTTTTTTTCCCTCTATATGCAGTGGTGTAGGGTTTCACTTCGAAAAAAAATAGTGGGCAAAATTGCAGCTTTACTGTGATTGAATCTGAATAATCGGCAAAAATGATGTCATTCGAGATGAACGATCGTAAAAGTAAGTTTTCATTCCAATTTTGCCCCCCACCCCCGAAATTAAGCGTTGACAATTTATGATTTGGGGATTATTCAGATTGGGTTTGTTGCTGTAAACTATGTTTGGATGAATTTGGTTAAGTATTATGGATTTGAATGTTATGTTTACCGATTAAATCGTATGCACAAATTCATAGTTTGATGATTCGTTTTTCTATTTATTTTTTTTGCCGAGGGTTTTTGTCTCTGTTATGCTTCAAATGTGCAATAATAATACGATGTAGGCTGATCAAAATCATTTTTTGTGCGTTGATGAAACAGAAATTGGACTCGGTTTGACGGGGTTTGGAGTATTGTTTTCGTTTTTGGGTATTATTTTTTTCTTCGATAAGGGACTACTTGCAATGGGAAATGTAAGTATACTTTTCTAGCAAGCGCATCGATTTTTCGAGAAGTATTACTTTCATCCCCGATCTTCCTAATGTTGTTTCAATTCCATTCCAACAGATCCTGTTTTTCTCGGGAGTGACGCTAACCATTGGACTCAAGTCATCTGCTCAGTTCTTTATGAAACGTTCTAATTTCAAGGTTTAATTTTTATTTTTCCTTTTCAAAGACGCATGTTTTTTTTTTAAATGTTATTGCTCCCGTTTTTATTTATTATAACTTATGCCTTTTGTTATATTGATTTCCAGGGTACGGTTTCATTTGGTGTTGGCTTCTTCTTGGTCGTCATTGGATGGCCCATCATAGGGATGATTGTCGAGACGTATGGCTTTATTATACTCTTCAGGTATATGACTGCTTATAATATGCAACATTTCAGCATCAATTCTGGTTTATTTTCCTTTTTTTTTTCTTTTTTGTTTTTGCGAAAAAAGGTGTTAATAATTTTAATTTGTTTACTTGCAGTGGCTTCTGGCCAACAGTGTCTGTTTTTCTGCAGAAGATACCTCTCTTTGGTTGGATATTCCAGCAACCTTTTGTCAGATCGGTATGATTTCTTTCACATCTTTTTTAATTCCATTTAGTTGCTTCCAATTGTGGAATTATGAAAGATGTTAAAATCTTTCAACAATGGAAAAAAATCGATTAATTGCACTTTAGTATGGTTTGTTTGAGTCACTTAGCTTTAGACCCTGTCAAAGACTTGCAGAACTTTGCAGGAAAATTAAGGATTTATGCTTTGTTAAGAGTCGAAATGTAACCTATGTTTTGTGTTTGCTTTCGGTCCAGTATTTTTGTGAATTCTCCCAGTAGAATAATTCGTATTCGTGAGCGAAATTCCATGTTTTGGTGAAGGTCGCATTTCCTGTATCCGGATGTTGTATTATGAGTTCCGAACAACATGTAATTAGACATTTCACCAAGTTAACGGATCATTAAAGTATGTCCAAAATTCCTGGAAAATAGAGAACCTTTGTCCTAATAGCAGAATCGATTAGGCACCCGCACTCTGACTAATATGAAGCACTTGATCAGTTGTTTGCATGTTTTTCTTACTAGTTAAGGGATTTGTAGAATGTTATTATGTGATGGTTTTCACTTTTCCGTGTACGACGACCTACATTACCCTGCATGGAAAAATCAGCCCCCCATAAAATATTATGTCGTGTAACAAGTGCAACTATTTTGCTTTGCAGTTTATGGATCGTTATCGTGGGAAAAGAGTTCCAGTGTAAATTTAGCCGTAGTAAGCGCAAGAAGGCTTGTCTGGAGCCCACTTGTAAGTGTTGTAAAATACGGTTTGGCCAGCGTTTCAGTACTAGCTGATGACAAATATGGTATACTTGGTTGATAAATGGGCTTGATTTTGTACATGATTTCTTATTTCAATTCTTTTTTCGCTTTTCATCAATGGAAATTTAAAAAATCAATTCTTTTGAGGGGATACATAATATAGCATCCGTCATTTTTGTTTACCGGTTTATTAGTGAGGCTTGTAGATTAGTTAGAAGCGCGTTTCATATCTATGGACGATGTTTTCTTAGCAATTATTGAAATTTGTGTTGGCATTTTAATTGGTTTTACTGAATTAATTTTCTGTTGCTTCACAAATACATACTGTGTATCTGATGAAGCTCCTTCTTGAATTGATCTCTGAACACTCTCCGCAGTAGCTTATTCGACGCCGTTCGAGGGAACTCATCTACAATCTTCACTTAACCTCACCTGCTCAACAAATAATAACAACTATTTACTAATTAAAATAAAATAAAAAGAAATGAAAAAAAAATAAGGTAAAATATCAGCAATATAAAGACCCAAACCTTGAAGAAAGGGCTGAGGTTGGTCTGAATAGGTTTTGTGAATTTCATGTATAAGATATCACCGTTCGGTGGTGCAACAATTACAACAGCAGTTTCGAGCATTCTCTCATTGGCAAAGTTGCACACACGCTCGATTTCCACTGAGCATGTCTGTGTACAAGAGAATCACTACTACAAGTAATCACCATCTTTACTAAGGCCTGTTTGGTTGATACAACGGGATTAGACAAGATAACATTATCCGAATCTTACATAATTCTTGATTTTTTTTTCAATATTCCAAGATAAGCTCATTCTTTAAAAAAAATTGGGACTAAACAAAATAATAAATCGGCCAGAATCTTATTATCTTATTAGTTTGTTACGTATACTCTGTTCATGAAGGAAAACGGAAGTGGATAAATTTGTACCGAAAAATGTAATGTACAACCAGAAAAATATATCAAAAAAACTGATATACTAATGAAAAATTAATGTAGATTATTTGTTGAGTTATAATAACATTTTGTTTTCATTATTACATAATAATTCTAATAATATCAAATACTATAGCTGATTTTTTGATATCTTCAGTATTTAAATTGAGAAAATGGGCTATTGAGCTAAAAGAAAAAGTAAACGACTTATGACAATTTATAATAATGTTAGAAGATTTATAATAATGATCTAGAGAGTCTGTGTTAGAAGATTTATAATAATGATCTAGAGAGTCACAGACCACCGTATGATTAAATTAATCACGATGCATCCATTAAAGGTGTAGTAGTATAAATATGAGCAAATCGTCCCAGATAGATCTTAAATAGAAAAGTATAAGGAGTACATGATATACAATTGCAAGCGATTCTGAGTAAGCTGGACAATTCGTTGTACACTATATCCAATTCCTACACCGATTGCAACTATAAGACTTGTAACTCTTGTAGACAATGATTTCATAATTGTGGAAAATGGTCCATTTTTCGGACTGTGTACTCATGCATATGGTGATATATGAGTTTATGTATACTTGCGCCCTTTAAATATGATTCAGCTACCATTTTTTATTCTTACATCTCTCCGTCTTGAGTGCCATTTTTTGTTTCTCAGGGCAACTACAACAATAGTAATCAAAAATGAGTACTCAAATGTCTATTGATTATTGCTACAGTGTTTTAGTTATTGAATAAAAGTCTTCCACTCCAACAATAAAACATCAAATGGATCATCAATTTTTAAATATATTAATTTATCCAATTCAACTAAAATAAATTAACTAAGCCCAGCCCAGCCCAATCAACCTAATCCACTTAAGTCAATTTAAATATTATAAAACTAAAAACTAAACCTAATTTCTACATCATCTTCTTCCATATACAGCCGTTGCAAAAAAAAAAAAAAAAAAACCAGAAAACATACCTCTGCTTCACCTCTGTTCTTTTCGGTTTCACTCGTTTCTACTTCACTTTTTCTCGCTCTCTCTTTTTGCCTAAGAAGGAATTACTCTCCTTTTAGTGTGGAGTCAAATAAAAGATTTGAGAAAATTATTTGATTGGGTTGTAGAAATATGATGAGGTGAATCTGATTTTTTGAATCAATTTTTTGGTTTAGAAAAAATGACCGTTGGGGTGTGAAATTACAGTTGGAATTTTTTGGTTATTGAATTTATGGGAGCCAAAAATGCACCCACCGTTTGACTACCCTGCTGGAGGCCGAAAGAATGAAATTTTGGGCATCAAATTGGCAGTTAGGCCTTTAATGCCTCATTTGATTATGCTGTTGGATATGATTATGCTGTTGGAGTTGCTCTTACATTTCTCAACAGAAAAAAAGAGATTAGAGGGTAGAGAAAATATTGGGAAATATTTACCAGAAGACCATGGACGCGCAAGACATATTAAGAGATTAAGAGAAAAAGTGTTTCATTTTTGCGTAGCAATTTAGTAATGACACTCGTTAGACTAGTTAGAACCACGTTTCAGAATGTGTATGAAGGAAATTTCATTGCACAAATAGAAAAGTTAGCTATCAGTGAATTTCTTTTCTTTTTTTGGTTTTGCTGAATTAATTTTATGTTCATTCACAAATAGATGCACGTTACTATTTTTTACCATTAGCTTTAATGGCAATCGCTATTTACGTATTATATTATATTATATTATATTATATTATATTATATTATATTATATTATATTATATTATATTATATTATATTATATTATATTATATTATATTATATTATATTATATTATTTCATCCAATATTTCAAAAGAATAATACAATGGTCTCATAAACAATAGGTGATATTTTAAATTTTACTGTGTATGTGAAGCTCCTTCTTCAATTGATCCCTCAACACTCTCCGCAGTAGCTTATTCGACGCCGTTCGAGGAAACTCCGGCACAATCTTCACCAACCTCACCTGCTCCACAGAGAAATAAATAAAAATAAAAATAGACTCCAACATTCTATGATCATTTTTTCTTGTATAAATAAATATGTTGAATGAAACCTTGAACAAAGGGTTGAGGTTGGCCTGAATAGCTTTTGCAAATTTCATGTGTAAGATATCTGGTTCGACACTGAATCCCTTCTTCAGTACCACAAATATAGACAGCTGTTCAGGTCCACCATTCGGCGGCGCAACACTTACTGCAGCTATTTCGAGGATGCTCTCATCGGCAAAGTTGCACACACGCTCGATTTCCACTGAGCTTGTCTGTATACAAGATAAGCAACTACAACATGTAAAATAACCATCTTCACTAAGGCCTCGTTTGGTTAATAAGATTAGTGTAATCTTGCATAGTTCTACGTTAAATCAAGATAAGGGCTCGTTCTTTCCCCAAAAAAAAATTGAGATGGCCCACGAAAAAATTATTCGACTAATAATAAACAAGACTCGATTATATAATTAATCACGTCTCAACGGACTAATTGAATATACCTTAATGCCACCAAGGTTCATAGTGTCATCAGCTCTACCCTGCACAATATAGTATCCACCAACGGTTCTCTTTAGTATGTCGCCATGCCTCCTTAGTTGCTGACACAAGTAAAATGCGACTTATTCAGTTGCTTTTAGACACGAGTCGACTCCGTAAAGAATAATAGTACCGTATAAAAATCATAAAATTAAAAAAAAAAACAAAAAAAAAACAGATTCTTGGTTTAAAGTATGTGGAAAGCATACCATTCCATTGTAGATAGGCATACCCTTGAAATAAACCTCCTCGTGGTCGCCGTTAAGCAATCGTTCAGTCGCACCAAAGTAATGAGGAAATAATCCCACTTCACCCACACAAGCTTCCTCATCTGGCTGTCGAAAACAAAAAATCAGTGTGAGAAAAATAAAAGGGTAAATTACAACTACCCTGAGGTATGGTCAATTTACGAAAAAAAACCCCTCTTGTTTGGATAATTACATCTACCCCTCAACTATGATTTTTCTTACACATCCACCCTCGTGGTGTCAAATTCAACATAATCATCTAGATTTCGTGGAATGTGCTCTAGTTTGTACTCGTTTTGTGTAAAAATACAGTTTTTTATGCACCACAATCTGATATATACAAGCCAAAAAAACACATATTATGATCATCTTGCTTCAAAATGTGGATTTTAAATGGGATAAAACGGATACAAAAGCGATAATATTCCATAAAATCTAGAAGATTCCACTAAATTTGAAACCGCAAGGGTGGACGTGTAAGAAGATTTATAGTTGAGGAGTGGTTGTAATTATCCAAATAGGAGGGGGGTTTTCGTAATTTGACCGTACCTCAGGGGTGGTTGTAATTTACCCAAAATAAAATCCAATGAAGATAACCGAGTTAGCCATAGAAGGAAGTTCTTACATAAGGGGTCCCACTTTCGTCGAAGATGACAAATCCCGCACCAATTGCTGCGGAACTAAATGTCCCGAAAGCCTGTGGTTGCAAAAGGTTTCCGTAAATGTAAGACGAAGCAAGCTCTGTGCCACCACAACATTCAATTACCGGCTTGTAATAATTCCTCGAAGAGAGCCATAGGTCGTCGTCAACACTCGAGGCTTCTCCAGTTGAAGCAAATAACCTATTGAAAACATCGTTCTTGCATATAGTTATTCCTTCGGTAAAATAAACTACATAATATATAAATATTGGAAAGCTGCTAAATCAAGAATTACTTTATCTTCGTCCAATCTAAACCGTCCATACAAGACGTACTTTTCCATGTCTTCACTAAACTAGGTACAGTTCCTAAAATAGTCACTCCTGCATCCTGTATATTGCCGAAAATGGTGAAATTATCGGAATTTTGAATTAGAAAAAAAAAAAAAAGATTTTTTCTTACCTGGACGAATTTTCCGAAGCCACGGCTTAGAGGAGAACCGTGATAGAGAGCAAGAGTAGCGCCAGCTAAGAAACTGGAATAGAGTAAAATGGGGCCCATAACCCATCCTAAATTTGTCGGCCAGCAAAAAACATCTCCAACTCGAACATCGAGATGTGCCCATGAATCGGCAGCACAACGAATCGGAGAAAGTTGAGTCCATGGTATAGCTTTTGGCTCTCCTGTTCGAAGGGTCGAAAAAATGTTATTAAAACGAAATTGTCAAAAAAAAAAAAAAAAAAAACGTAAGGAAAAACGAGGTTAAGCGAACCTGAGGTACCGGATGAGAATAGAATGTTGGTGACGGAATCTGGCGGTTGGTAAACTGGTGAATAGTAATTACATCTGTCGAGAAAGTATTGGTTTTTTTTTTCTTTTTATAAATTCAGAAATGCGGATAATTATTACATGATTCTTGCATGCATGTTTAAACTACCTTGGTAGGCGACGCGCACTTGAAAGAAAAGTATGCCATGAAGAATCTTGATTTCTTAATTGAAGAGCTACGTCTTTTCCGGTTGCAGGAATGACTATAACTCTATCTGGACCAGCTTCTACCACTCGACTGCAGCCACAGATTAAGAGAATAATGTAAGTATATAATTCATGGACAATCGACGTTCAATATAAATGCATATATTACCTGTATAAAGGAAACCTCCGTCCTCCTCGTACAATAAAATCCTGAATTTGCTTCAAGTTAGAAATTCTTTTCTTTTTCAAAATAAAGAAGAAGAAAAAACCATATGCTATGCAAGAAAGCTCGTAAGTGCTAATACTCCCGACTTTTCTTCCTTTTCTCCTCATTTTTACTATTTATTTGTGACCGAACATATTTTCGTCCAGCAAAATTCTATCTTCTTATATAATTGTTCCATAGTAGCTTGAATTGCAAAGTTAGAGAGCTCAAATTACTTAATTACCCCGAGTACTTCAACAACATAAGCCTGTTTTACCTATTCGAACAAAAGAATAATAATTATAAAAAAAATGGAACTTTCCAAGATAAGTTTTGCAAACCACCTGAGTGAAAACTGCCTTAGCCTTTGATACGCGTAAGCGAGTTGCGATTTCCATAGGGGCAAAGCTGTCAGCTATAGAGACGACGACAAATCCAGCAAGTACAATAGCCAAGTATATAATAACGGCGGTTGCTGTCATCGGCATATCAATGGCAATTGCATCTCCTCTGCGGAATCCCAATTCCAGTGCATTTGCTACCAACCTGCTCGTGGTAGACGAAAAAAAAAAAAAAAAAAAAGAGGATTTATTACATGTATAGGTAATAAGAAAGAGAATAAATAGAGCGATAACAACATTTGTAGAAACGAGCATACATTACTTGTTGGCGGAGCTCTTTTAATGTCATACTTCTGATTTGATAATCATCGTCGTCACAGCCTTCATCCCTCCACACAATTGCTAAGCTATTATCGTCTTTCTTGAAATTATTGCTCGATTGTAGACAACACTCGGCAACATTGAGCATCGAACCAGGTAGCCATGTTCCGCCATGCTTGGATTTGTCGGAAGTATCCAATACACGTTTTGGTGGAACGGAAAATCGAACGGATAGCTCGTTAAGTAGAAGTTGCCAATATATCTGGAACAACACAACACATACATAGAGCTTTATTACACGAGAAAAAGACAAAAAAAATGCATTATCGACTTATCGTCGTATATGATTGGATCATGAACAAAGAAGATGATCTTGCCTCGGGATTTTGCACCGAGAAATGCTGAAATTGTGTGAAACTTGCTATTGGATTTTTGTACATTGTTGCACCTAATAGCCTTGGGCCATGGGATTCCATTAGACGCCCCAAGTTTGTACTCTTCGACCGGAATCTGAATATTAAGAAAACTAATAAATATGCATGGATTTTACGGAAAAAATAAAATAAAATAAAATAGAATGTGACTGAAATGCCCTTCCTATTAATTCTCCTCCCACTAATTCTCTCTCTACTAATTAAGAGTGATAAAAGCGAGAACATGGTAATTAATGCATCATTTTAGATAATACGATACAAGAGTACGTGGCGTGGGGAAAATTATAGTTTTTCATCCCTCAAGTTTGCACCGATTTTACATTTGGTCCCTCAAGTTTCAATATCGAACATTTTTTGTCATTTTAGTCAATCTACCATTAGTCTGTCAGTTAAGGTGGTGATGGGTACAAGCTTGATTCCGTTAGTACTAACGGAAAATTAATGAAAATGACTAAAAGTGTTGAATTTTTGAAACATGAGGGACCAACCAAATGTCTTTTTTTAAGAACCATGGGGACTAAATAT